TACATTCTAAGTATACCCATGCTATGTGTGAGAAATATCTTATTAAATTGAAAACTTTGTGTATTCCCATACTTGGGAGGAGTAGCAGAATGTGTTTTGGGGTGGAATTTTAAGTAAGCAAAATTTGTGTGTTGGGGTATTAGAAATAACTTATTAATTGACAATTTTTGTGTAAAAAAATACATTTTCATTTTCTTTCCATGTTGTGGCAGAAATATGAAATCTTCAAAAGACGCACTATGCCTCTTAGGTGTCTGCCTTCCAAAATATGGGCATTGTGTGAGTGTCTCTACTCTCCTGGTGCTCCAGGACCTTTAGAGATCTGAAATACATAATTTATGCTTCTTGCAAGCCTGGAGGTGCTCCTCGGGCCCTATTATGTGGCTAGCCTGCAAAAAAGTCTTATATACAGTATGTGATATCCCCATGAACAGGAGGAGCATCAGAGATTGATTTGGGGTGTATTCCTATGCTGTGTGTTAGGAATATTTTATTAAATACCAACTTTGTGTAAAAAAATACATTTTCATATTCTTTCCATTTTATTAGAAAACCTGGTGGCATAAAAATGAAATCTTCAAAATACTCACCATGCCTCTCAAAAATATCTGTCTGATTTCCAAGATGTGGTCACAGGGGCGGACTGATAACTCATGGGGCCCCCGGGCAATAGGAAATCATGGGGCCCCTGTGTCCTTGCCAACACTCAAACCACACCCAAAAAAGCCTATGAAAGGTACCAGGGGCATCCCATGGGGCCCCCTACTGACCCCGGGCCCTTGGGTAGTGCCCGAGTGGCTAAATGGTCAGTCCGCCCCTGTGTGGTCATGGTTGTGGATGTTTCTACTGTCCTGGCACTCTAGGGCCTCAAAACATGTGATAGGTAGTCAGGAAATTAGTAGCCTAATTTATGCCCCTTGAAATCTTGAAGGCGTTCCTTGGATTTTAGGCCCCTTTATACATCTAGACTGCAAATAAAAAGTCTGCTACTAAAAACATTTGTAAAAGAATGGGTCGCTCTGAAGAGCTCAGTGATTTCAAGCATTGTACGGTGATAGGTTGCCATCTGTACAATAAGTCCATCTGTGAAATTTCCTTGCTACTAAATATTCCACGGTCAATTGTTAGTGGTATTGTAACAAAATAGAAGCAACTGAGAACAACAGCAACTCAGCCATGAAGTGGTAGGTCATGTAAGATGACATAACGGGGTCACCACATGCTGAAGCACACAGTGAGCAGAAGTCGCCAACTGTCTGCAGAGTCAATAGGTGAAGACAATGCAAACGTCATTTGTCCTTCAGATTAGCACAACAGTGAGCAGAGAGCTTCATGGAATGAGTTTCTATGGCCGAGCAGCTGCATCCAAGCCTTATATCACCAAGTGCAATGCAAAGCATTGGATGCAGTGGTGTAAAGCACGCCACCACTGGAGTCTAGAGCAGTGATGTGTTCTCTGGAGTGATGAATCACACTTCTCTGTCTGGCAATCCCATGGACGTGTCTGGGTTTGGCGTCTGCCAGGAGAACAGTACTTGCCTGACTGCATTGTGCTGAGTGTAAAGTTTGGTGGAGGGGGAATTATGGTGTGGGGTTTGTTTTTCAGGGGATGGGCTTTATTTATTTACTTTACCAAGAAAATGTAACAGAATACAATTTGACATAAAGATTAATTATTTTAAAACGTTTTATAGCAGAAACTAAGGAAAAGTTTTTTCCAATTTTTTGGTGTTTTTTTAGTAGATACAGTAAAAAATAAAAAAAATCCCAGTGGTGATTAATTAATACCAAAAGAAAGTTCTATCTGTATCAAAACAAAATAATATAAAATTCATTTTGGTACAACTTTGCAAACCCAAATAAATGTTATTTAAATCATCACATTGCCGAAGACTGAAAAAATGGCCAGGTCAGAAAGGGGGGTTAACATGCTGGTCATCAAGTTCGTAAACAAACTTACCAGATGGTAATGACCTCTGTTCAAAAAGCAGATCTATTGTGATTAAAATATGCCTTAAAATGGTTGTAAACCTCAGAAATGAAATCTGCACAAAGAACATCATTCTATAGTGTGCATTTTGTCTCTATCTAAAGCACTGAATGTGATTTCTCTCTGCTGCCTCATTCTTTTGCTATCTGCATGAGTCACTTCTTACAGCTTTTCCGCACACCAAGAAAAACAAAGATGGCAGGGGAGGAGAGCTCCAGCATACAGCTGGTGACTGACAGACACAGGTGTCCTTTTTCTTCATGTAGTACAAGGAGGGGGTTATGTCCCTTCTCCCCAATCAGGGCTCATAGTTCTTCTCTGTTAGACAGATTCTGTGTAAATTCTGTGTGTTGTAGAATGCTGTACAGAACAGATGGCTGCAGATAAACAGGTATAGCTGATGTATGAGGATTTGTTTAATCTCTGTGTATCACCTGAGGATAGTCATTTCACTAGGTACAGTTGTGTTCAAAATAATAGCAGTGTGTTGAAAAAAGTGAATAAAGCTCAAAATCCTTCTAATAGCTTTTATTTCCATACACACAAATGCATTGGGAACACTACACATTCTATTCCAAATCAAAACATGAAGAAAAATCTATCAAATTTGTGTTGTTCCTCTAAAGAAATTGAAGAAAAGTGAATATTAGACTGTTCAAAAAAAATAGTAGTGTTTGTATTCTTCTTTACAAACTCAAACATTCACTATATAAACTGAAAAATGTTTGAAGATTTTGCTTTCCTTTGAATCGCTTAATTAATATTTAGTTGTATAAACACTGTTTCTGAGAACTGCTGTACATCTGTGTTGCATGGAGTCAACCAACTTCTGGCACCTGTGAACAGGTATTCCAGCCCAGGATGATTGGACTACATTTTACAGTTCTTCTCTATTTCTTGGTTTTGCCTCAGAAACTGCATTTTTGATGTCACCCCACAAGTTTTCTATTGGATTAAGATCCGGGGATTGGGCTGGCCACTGCCATAACGTCAATCTTGTTGGTCTGGAACCAAGATGTTGCACGTTTACTGGTGTGTTTGGGATCATTGTCTTGTTGGAACACCCATTTCAAGGGCATTTCCTCTTCAGCATAAGGCAGCGTGACCTCTTCAAGTATTCTGATGTATTCAAACTGATCCATGATCCCTGGTATGCGATAAATAGGCCCAACACCGTAGTATAAGAAACATCCCCATATCATGATGCTTGTGCAACCATGCTTCACTGTCTTCACAGTGTACTGTGACTTGAATTCAGTGTTTCGGGGTCGTCTGACAAACTATCTCCGGCCACTAGACTCAAAAAGAACAATCTTACTTTCATCAGTCCACAAACTGTTGCGCCATTTCTCTTTAGGCCAGTCAATGTGCTCTTTGGCAAATTGTAACCTCTTTAGCACATGTCTTTTTTTCAACAGTGGGATTTTGCGGGGGCTTCTTGCAGATAGCTTGGCTTCACATAGGCGTCTTCTAATTGTAACAATACTCACAGGTAACTTTAGACCTTCTTTGATCTTCCTGGAGCTGATTGTTGACTGAGTCCTTGCCATTTTGGCTATTTTTCTATCCATTCGAATGGTAGTTTTTCACTTTCTTCCACGTCTTTCAGGTTTTGGTTGTCATTTTAAAGCATTTGCGATGATTTTAGCTGAGCAGCCTATCATTTTCTGCACTTTTTATATGTTTTCCCCTCTCCAATCAACTTTTTAATCAAGGTACGCTGTTCTTCTGAACATTGTCTGGAACGACCCATTTTCCTCAGAATTTCAGAGAGAAATGCACTGTAACCAGCATGTACAACATTTGCTGCCTTCCTTCCTTAAATAAGGGCAATAATTGCCACCTGTTTTTCAAAGAATGAATGACCTCACTAATAGAACTCCACACTGCTATTATTTTGAACATGCCCCTTTCAATTAGTGATTCAATTACACAGAATCAGCAGCATGCATGTCATGACTGTTGGGTCTGTTGGATTTCTATTACTCTACTACACCTGCTAGTAAATTATTTGTCATGTAGAAATATATTTTCTACCAAAAACAGTGATTGATCAGGTTAGTGATGTCTGACTGCTATTATTTTGAACACAACTGTATATGTAAGTGTTTTCAACCACTTTAAATGCTTGAATCCTTACTATCCAATGCTTGTCTCTGATAGGGAAGGAAAAACTCAAAGTGGAAGCTAACAAAAACGTAAAACAAATGTTATGACATAAGAAATATGAAAGTCGCTAACAATAAAAAGTGATTTCCCAGCACCAAAGAATCTCTTGCTCAATCATGTAGGATGCACAGCATCACTAACCTTGATATCAGAAGCCACCCCTCTGAATGTAATGATGTCACAGAGCAGAGACGTGCCCAATGCACATTTCATAAATCCTGACTTCTTAAAAAGCAATCTGTGCACCATGATCTTTTGGACATCTTTTGGCCATTATTATTCATCCATTAACCCTTGGCTTTCCTAACATTCTATCTAGGGGTCATATACCCATTTGCGGTTCACCCACTATCTCATTGTTTATTGGAGATGCACATAAAGCTAAGAAGACATTACATTTAGCATTTAAACCCATATTCAATGGTTTTATTCCCTGACCAAGAGGGTTTTCCCTGGCCCAGAAGGCAGCCATGAGCTTGATATTGATTTTTTTAAGCCAGCAAACGCTTTCAAGTAAATGTGATCTAGGCAGTTCTAGATCACTTTTACAGTATCGGGAACATCTAATCCCCAATGCCCTTTGTGAATCAAGAAGTGACATGTTCAGATTTGTAATTGCCTGGCTACTGTAGTCGGGCAGGGAAGCAGCTAATCAAGCACAACATTGTGGCTTATGGCTCCATAAAGAGAACCTGTCCATGCCATTACAGAGGTAGCTTGTTGGATCCCTTGCAAAGGCAAAAAAGTTAACTGAAAAAAAAATGTTAAAAAATAAATTATAATAAAATAAATAAAAATAATTTAAAGAACTGTAAAATCACACCCATTGCCTCCATATACACCCAAATGCAAACATGTGTGTAGGCTATACGTGTATGTAGACAAAATTGTGTCACACGTGAATTATTGCACTAAATGTCAGATTGAAAGCAATAATTCTAGGGCCTTATTTTATGGTTAACATTAAATTGATCATTGGTAAAGGTTTTTAAAACGTTGCTTATGGACAATTTTGGGCACCATCATTTTTCATTATTTCATAAGTGCACGTCATTTTAAGGCTTGACATGTTTGGTAACCATTTGCTCAATGCAACCCTATAGTTTCTATTTTACCAAAAAAAATGGGTAATATGTTGTATTGGTTTAGACTATAATTCATTTTAGTGTATTTTGTCCAGAAAACATATTTGATAAACAGTTGTGCAAATATTTTGTGATATAAAAAGCTGACACTGTTTTATTCCACAGGTCCTCTGCTTTTATAATTGTTTGGCGTTTAAGGTAGTTTCTAGCTAAAATGCTAATTTTTAAATTTGTGAAAAGGTAAAAATATTCCCAGGTAGAAAAGTAGTTAATGAAGCTGCAGACGTAGGGACTCCAACTCCTTCCATGGATTAAGCAATAATTGTCACATTACTTAAACCAAGGAAGGATGCTTAACAATTAGGACCCTATTGCCCTATATCCTTAATAAAAACCAACTTAAAGGCCTTAGTGAGGATCCCAGCCAACTGTTCTGCTACAATAATCCATTCACTAGTACACTGATACCAGGCTGGCGTTATTCCCACATGATCAACATCATTTACAATTAGACATCTTTTCCTGAATATGAAAATCCTTGTAGGTAACACCAGTGTTTTGTTTTTTATTTCATACTTATCAATTTTTATTGGGCTGAAGTTTAGTGTTTCATTGTTCATTTTTTGGGGGAGGTATATTGTATTTGCTTTGCTTTGATTTAATTTTCTGTTGCTAAAACTTTTTTATTTTTTAAGGGTGGGTATTGTACTCTTGCTGCTGACACAAGCAAAGCTGCCACGTGTTTGCAGCATGTCATTACATACTTATGTGGTGCAGTAGTGTGCACCAAATTATCACATACATATCCCCACTACTGCTGTAGATTCTGTTAAATTTAGGCAATCTCCTTTATTTAGAAAAATAACAAAGTCAGGTAGGCCTATAGCGAGAGGCAGAGGTTTTGTACACAGGGGTAGTAAGGAGCAAGCAGGTTCTACAGAACAAATAAGTGGTCTGAATCATCTAAAAGCAGCACATCTCTTCTCTTTGCTAGCTCAGAGTAGCCATGCTATACAGCGAGAGCAGACAGGAGGTAGCAAAGTGGCTGACAAAGCCTTCCTTTTCTTCCTCCTCAAAAGGTGCAGTGCAGCCAGTTGTCTGTGACTGCTGATAATGCTTCCTCTTCCTCTGCTGATCCTGCCATAAGCCTTAAAACTTGCAATGAGGAGTTGATGAAATTATCTGATCAGTTATTGACTTGCAGATGGAAGATGACTTTAGCCATGCACAAGCATTCCTCCTACTGAGGATGAGGAAGATAACACCATATTCATAGTGCAAGAGGGCATTAGGCAGGAAGCCACAAGAAACAGTGATGTTCTAGCACTTGGAGCTTACTGCACTAGATGCACCAGTAATGAGCAGGAGGTTGATGATGCAATGGAAGACTGTCTGTGGGTACTACTGATTGGAAAGGAGGAAAGTTCTGAGGGGGAGGCAGAACAGCAGTATAGGATGATTATGTTTTGGGGAAAGGGAGGTTTGCAGAGAACTGAAGGGGGCAGCCATCCTAATACATCTGATGGCACTGACCAACAGATACAAGACACTTCTATCCCCAGGGCTGGTCCAAAAAAACTCCACAGTGTGGGCCTTTTTAATGTATTTGCTGCCAACAGAACCATTGTGGCATGCAGCATATCAACTGTAGTAAAAGTGTCAGGCATTTGTGCACCACACGTAGGAAACACTTGGTTCTACACCACAGAGCTCAGCGGGAGCAGCACCTAAAAGAAATAATTCTACAACAAATGGACTGCTCTTCTCCTCATTTATTGCTTTCCACATCTCCCTTCAATTCACAACATTTTTTTTTCCTGCGCCAACAGCAATATATTAAGACTCTATTGACAATGAGGGACGTGTCACAAGGAGTTTCATAGGCTTAGGATATGCCACGTTATGTCATGGGGCAATTCCACAAAGAGTCAAGTGAAGGCTTGAACTTCTACTAAATTCACCCACACCGGCCCAACTATTTCCTCAATAATCCTTCCCATGACAGGTATCTCTTTCCCAGCCGCTGAAGTGGAAGAAAAACATTTCCCAGATCACTCCCTGCCCAATATTTTAATGCCAGCTTGGCAAAACCACTGGCTTTGAAGCTGCTCCTATTTCAGCTCATAGAATTGGATTCAATCAGGGAGTTTACCACAGTAGCAAGTACCTAATTGTCATTATTGTGTCCAGAAGGCCATCCTTGCCCTCCACAAGCATTTGAAATGCAAGGAGTTCATGTGGCTGAGCTATGTTGTCCGTGGCAGAGTACACATGACAATGGACATTTGATCCAGTAAGCATGGTCAGGAATGTAACATATTCTTCATGGCACAATCTATTGCCAGCAGGGAAAGATGCAGGATGGATCATGTTGCTGTAACTGGTGGTGCCACCGCGTGTCTTGTCTGATGATAGCAATGAGATTAGCTGTATTGCCACCTTCTTACTGCACTTATCCTCTGACTCCTAGGAACCAGCGGTCCTTTCCACATGTCCAATAGCATATGCAATGTCCCAGGCTAAACATTGTGATGCTATGTTGCAGTCTGGATGCCTGGGAGACAGGAGCCAGAATAGATAAGAGCTACTGACCCCATGCAATCCACTGGCCAATTTTTACAAAGTTGAGGGTGTTACCTTTTTTAATAGTAAAATTTCCTAAAGCTTTTAGATATTTTGCCAATGCTACTTCTGTTCTATTTAAACCAAGCTAAATGTAAAACTTAAATGAATTTCCCTGATGTGTCACTGATGATGTCTGTGATGATCAAACTGTTCCCTAACCTTGCATTTAGCTTAAAAGGTATCTCCCAAGCAGGTAACATAACTCTTTTACTTCTATCAACGCAAGGCATATGGTGGCAAAGATGGCTAGATCATCATGTCTTATATCAGCTACATTTCCCAGTCTGCTTTAAGCTCATGTTTGCTTCAGTAACCAAATAGCTATATTGTGCCCCCTGCATTGTCTGATGTCTCCATCAAACAAACCCCACCACCACCACCACTTTTAGCAGTGGAGACAACAGGTTGTATAAGAGAGAATGATGCTGGAAGATTCAGATGTCCACAAGGATGTGGCAGATCAGAGGATTGGTAAATATGACTGTCATATGTTATCCTTTGCCTCTGTGAATGAACACCAAGGTGATCAGTGTTAAATACTGAGATACTAAACATGAATGGCCATTCAGGGTTACTATCTACTATCTGCACAGAGCGCTTCCTGTTCAGTGTGTGAGTGCAGCAGTGGCTACAATAGGGAAAAAGATCTCAAAACTCTTACTATATTTCAAAAGTAAAATATCAAGGGTCTGTTCACACCCCTGAGGTTTCACTGAAGACCCCCACCACCCAGTAGTAAAAAAATATTAACACTAATACAATTAATAATTTAACAAAATAAAAAAAGAAAGAAACAAGATCCTATTCAAATCAATGTGATACGGAGGGTGGGTGCCATTGTGCATGTTGCCACATGTTCTTTTCAATGCACTGTGGTACCATTCATTTTTAATGACACCCCAACGCTCACACATATGCATTGCAACACACAATAGTGAATGAAAACTTATTATCATGCTTTATGCTGCTCTGTTTAAAAAAAAAAAAAAAAGGAGGTGAACATTTTTAGTGTGGCTTATGTGTGTTGGGCAGGCCATTCAAAAGAATGGGCTTCCCTAGTGCAATGCATGTTAGAGGGCAACACCACTTTCATGGGAAAAAATAGCAAATAAAAACAAAAATAATATAGCATATGCAGTACAATTGCGACACAAGTCGTATTGTATTTGAATGTTATTAAAAAAATTACCTTTCCTTTTCAATCTGAAGCACTGTGATTTTCTGTAAAATGCAATGCAATATAGCTACCTGGAGGTGTTCTGGACACAGGAGGTTTACAGAATGTTCCCCCCTCCACACACACACACATATACATACACACAAAACACATGATTTTTTCCAAAAGTCTGCACTAAGATACAATACAGAATTCAGGCATCCCCTGCAACAAAAATTAAATTTTGGTTAGATACTCCTGACAGGAAATTATGTCTAAAAGGATGCAGGCCCTCCCATTTTTCTCATTAGAGCCCTGCAGGTGCAGCGGCTGATTGATAATTATTAAATCACTTCCATACAGATTCACTCTGCACATGGACACAGACCTTTCTTCGGAATAACAAAATGTAGGAATATGCAACACGTTTCTTAAAATCCCTGCAATGTACATAGATCATAAACAAAAATAAGAAATGCCATAGTTTAAGGTGTAACCACCCATCAAAAACATTTCTCTGACTCACCATGAATAGAGGTGTGGATTATTAACCGAATGTAAGCATACTGAAAAATTAAGCAGTTGACTAGAACAAACTTCAGAAAGAACAGTATTTAAATCCAATGCAGAGTAAACTAATACATCAAAATGGATGCAAAACAGTATCTTTATTATGATCACTAGGATCCTCTGAAAGATGGGCATATGACATGGTGAACACACAGTCAATCAAAAAAATAAAAGCAGTGTATTAAAAACAAAAAACAAAATGTACATAGATCAACTCACAGGGGAATGTTTTTTCTCATCAAAAGTGGAGTAACTCTCTAATGTACATGAAAGCACACATCAATGCGGTGCTGCATTGTGATTAAATATCTGGAAGATGTAAGTGAAAAATGACAACTTTCAGAATTTTCTTTTCCAATATTTTATTAAAGTTTTACAAAAATACAATAGCAAATGTATTTTTTTATCACAAATATGACTCATAACATACATTATAT